CCTCATGGAAGAGTCAGAGACCAAAGCAAATACTTTGTTCAGCTCCACAAAGCACCCAAGTGGACCAGTAAGCTCATTATTCCTCTATTCATCGAAGTCCAGAACTTAGTGCTTAGTGAAATGCCCAAATTCACATCTCAGCAAAAGTTATTAGGTACACATTGAATCTAGCACTGCATTTACACACATTTTGCCTTGCACTCACCAGGGTCATCCCCATTGGCCCAGGAACTTCAGCTCAGCACTGAGTATTCAGCCCCTGCCTGAGCTGTGCCAGAGGAATATCTGTCCCCATCTCTCCAAGTTTCAATTTTAGCAACTCCTCCAATGGTCTATAAAATAGATCATTTTTTCCAGCCATAATAACTCAAGCATGTAAGATGGGGTTAAAAAGTGTATTTATCTGAAAACCACCTGAATAAAAAGATCCCTGTCAGTTTTGTTCATTGAATATTTTCTAGGAAGAGAGAATGCAAAGCATAGGTTGCTTAGGCAATTCTTATTTCTGCCTTGCTAGAAAATTCTTGATGCCATCACACAGGCACGTGGGAAGGGTATGGATGTAATACTCCTACTGGTATGGAAGGGATATTATATAACTTATTATCATTAGTATTCACCCTTTGATCATGCACTATTGGCTTATATGCTGGTTGATTCACATCCTGCATAAATACCAATACAGAGGGAGTAGTTCAGCCCATTCCATTTCCTTTATGGAGGCTTTGTAACGATGGTTGTTGTTTGTTCCTTGTTGCTCAATACTGACATCACTACAAACTTCCGGGGCAGCGTAGCAGCCATCTCCCTTTCTGGTTCACCCCATTGCCTGCAAGAAATGTCAGCTCGAAGAGTTGTAAGATGCACAGCTGCAATTACGAATGAAGAATATTGCTGACCACACTGCTATGAGTGGTACATAAAGCAGCAATTAAAGGATAAGTAGATCTCCTCGACATGCCTACTTCTGGTATTTCCCTGCATTGCTCAAGCAAAAATTAAGACTTTCCTTGCTCCAAGGACAGGCCTATTGTTTCTTTTAACTGTCTCCAGTGCTGCCAGCCTGGCCCAGTGTTCTTTATCACAGAAAATAAAAATTTCCAATACAAAAGCACCCACAGAACAGGAGGAACTCAGTGCACTACGTGCTGTGGCATTTGCTTGTTGGATGACAATCGCAGAATGGCCATGCCAGCATAGGATCCGTTCAGTAACAGGCTGGTGAGGGCACATGGGACAGCTTCAGGGCTTCCTGAGTTTGCTGAACAAAGCTGTTATGCGTTAGTCCCACTAGATTTCTAGGAATGGACTGCAGTCCCACATCCACAAGACTTAACAAGTGCAAAATCACTTTCAACAGAGACTTCAGTCCCAAACATGAAAAGCTGGGTGTCCCATTACCAGTCCCCCAAGCTCTCTTGTCGTTGCCTTATTTTGCTTTGATGCCTTTAGCTGTACTTCAAAAGCCTTGGCCCTGCAAACCTTAATCAAGGAAATCAAAAAGAATTTCACTAGATTAAATCAAAAGCAGATTTACAAGATTAAGGACAGCAGAATCAGGAATTCAGGTTGAAAATGAGAACTCTGAAGTGCTCAATATACAATAAAGAAATATAGTCTTCCTTATATGCCTGGGATGGGGATTTCTAAGTAGGTGTGATGGAAAAAGCACCCAGATCCCACTGAAACTCCTGGGAGTCTGGAACCTAATTGCATTAGGGTACTTAAAAAATCTCAGTCATGCTTATTAATTGTCTGTGATAAAATTTAAGTGATATATTTGCCCTTCTCTTTTACAAAGCAATAACCCAATTAATGTGTGGATAAACTAGGAGGCCAAAGGGAATTGGATTATGTCTTAGGAAAACAGAAGAGCAATTAAAGTATCACTATTATAGGACAGATTGAATTAACATAGTAATGAAAACATTGCTCCCTGTTTGGGAAAAGGGGGCTAAATCTCCAGTTATGTCTGAGGATTACCAGCAGCGAAAGCTCCTCGTCTGTGCATTGGCATCACAGCCATCATTTCATTGCACATGAAGTGGCTACACAGGAGGACTGTAAAAAACAAAGATAAAAAGAGTGAAGGTTCATTCACCTCTTTCTAATCCAAAGCTCCACTCTCCTGCCAACCTCAGTCTGCACACCCAGGGGATGCTGCTGCCCTGCTTCCAGACAGTACTTTAATTTGGAGTCCAAATGAATTCTTTAATTAACGGAGAGCAACTTCTACCTAAAGCAAGTTCATTAAACACATGAATCCAACATTGGTCATAATTTGCCCTCGAAATTAAAATAATGCCTCCAGAAAAACATAAGATTGTCTTACAAACCCATAGAAAAGTATAACCATAAACCAAAATGCCTTTTAGCAACAGAGCAACCTTATTTTACCCAGACTACCAAACCTACGGCGCAATTATAAATCTAATCTACGGGCCAACTTGGCTTTACTAAGTATAAAAGTCATGGAAAAGGGTATACAGAATGGTTATCACTAGCTTATGGCTTCTTTCTCTGTATTGTCCAAGGGCTGGAGCCTCGCTTATAGCTCAGACAGAAGTATCAGTGTGCACAATGTTGCAGAATGAGTTATTGCCTGCTGTAACAGAATGGCTTCTGAAATTGTGGTGATAATGCTTAATCATGTATTTTGCAACTACGTTCCCCAGAGTCATAAGGATGCAAAACAGTGCTGGAAATACATTAGCAAGAGAAAGAAAGTCTTCGGTCTCTCTTATGACTATGTTAAAACGCTGCATTTTGCTTTGTGCTTGCTGGGATGTGAGTTTAGCTTTTGGAATATTAAACAAACTGACAAGCTAATGAGTTTTGCCAGTGAACAGACTTTCAAATTTAAAAATAGGGCCAGGTTTATCTTAATATTAACGTATCCCTGCTCTTACAGATTGTCCTGCAATAAGCACCCAGAACCTAACACACTTCACAGTAACTAAATCTTCCTTCTTAACTCCACCTCCAGTAGCAGACAATGCTTGCTAGGAATGGAGTTACATAGCACGACCGGATGTCAGCACCAAATGCAGTCCTCCTTTCTGCCTTCCTTCAGCTCTGACATTCATCACCTCTTGAATTTTGCTACCTTTTTTTTCCTATTTGCCACAGGTGGGGTGGACCCATGGAGAACCTGTCTTATGAAGTGTACAGACAACTTCAGTTATTTGCACTTGAATCAGTCATGGTAGACAAACATAAACTACTCATCTCAGATGACCAAAGGTGAAAGCTTGTGGCTGATGTTTGTCCTTGTCCCTACAGTTACTGCAATAAGCCCATGGCAGGCTTCATTCTTCTGCTGTTTTACCCTTGGGCCCTGTGGAGCCCAGCTGTGTGATCCTAGAGATAGACAAGACATGCACTGACCCTCTGCCCAAGCCAGCAAGCTCCACAACAAAGATACTGCACTCACTTCAAAGCTGGCTGCTGGCTCACTTTGCCCTTCTCATTTAAAGTTGATTTGATCCCATAGGTTACAGCACTTAAGAAGACTGCAGGGGATACATGGTATTAAAAAGCAGAAGCACTAGGAAACACCAGCCCTGAAGATTCCTAATCAGAGCTGAGCAATGGGTATTAAGCAAAAAATATAAAAGGTTATGAATTATTGAGAAAAGAGAAACATTTTTCATGCAAAATATCCTTAGCAGAATTGTATGAATCACACTGACTGGAGACTGGATATTTAAAGATATTGTCCTAGTTTGGGCCAATCTCAGTCCCTATTAATGCATCTGTTATTCCAAAATATCCATCAAATTTTGGCAAAGACGACATTAATTTCAGCTGGTCTGTGCTCACTGTCACGTGTGCATAAGGTCAGGATGTTGTTTCCTCCTGTTTCTGGCTAGAATTTTTCAAGTGAGAGGACATTTCAAAATGATTTTGGTGATTGTTTTAAGAAACTTGTTTTGCAAGGGTACATAGAAATGTGATCAAACATGAGCACATCCTCATGGTAAAGGGTCTTCACAAGGAAGCCTTCACTACAGCAAATATGTTCCTATGCTCTCCTTGGTGTTATCACTACAACATCTCAGATGCCAGAAATATTAAGACCACAGAGAGCAAGAGATAACAAAAGAGGTACAGAGATCATCCTGGCAGTAAAGAAGAGAACGTCAGTTTCAAGATCCTGTCCAAAAGGAGCAGCTATCAGTGCATTTCGAAAGGGCATCCTCTTTCTAATAAGTTACAGCTGGTTGGAAGAGATTGTAGCTAGAAAAAATGGACTTTGGAAGTCTGCATTCACAATTTACCCACACATCTCCCCATCACCACCCAAGAGAGAGTTGACATTTCTGCACACTGCTAAAACCTCAGCTTGCCCGGAAAGTCATCATACAGAAGGTGTAGCCTTGAACTGGCTGATATAAGAACTGCAGTTTATCTTTTCAAGTGCTCAGCACGGAGCAGCTGTAAATTTACCAAGGGTGGGTTTTCACAACCTGCCAGGGCACGTACATATGCATACCAGGTCCAGTGTCCTAATGCAGTCATAAAAGATCAATGCTCATAAAAGCAGCCAAACAAATTTTCTGGCTCATTTGATTTTCAAGTGTGCAACCAGAAGATCTGAACACAGATTTTTTTTCCCCTCCGTTTGAAATTCTTTTAATCTTCCTAGCAAAAGAAGTTTCTTCAGATTCTGTCCTCACTTTCTTCTTTGCCTCCCCTCCAACAGCAGCCCCTCTGCTGTTTTAACAAGCTATCAGTCTCTTAACGCTTCAGAGCATTCAAACATTTCCTAACAAGTGCCTGGAGAGAGACCAGGAAGAAGGAAAATGATTATTTTCAATCCATTCCCTAGTCAAACCTCTTACATTTTAACTGCACTTGAGCTGAAATTCATTAGCAAATTGTAGGTAAAGAATTCAGAGAAAGAGTCAAAGTAGCTTTCATGGAGTCTATTCCCTGCAGTCTGGTTACAGAACGGATAAGGGGAAAAACTCACATCAATATAAACATTCATCCTTTGAAAAGCCCTTTTTTTTAAGTTACTCCTCTGAAACACTGAACTTTTTCTTTACATGGTTAATATTAATAATTCACTAGTACTGAAGTGATTCCAGCATTTTATTCCATTTTTAAGCTAGAGCATTGCTTTTATCTTCACAGACTTAAGTCAGGCAGCATTTAACTGAGATCATGTTAACATAATGAGACAAAGATCGTTCTGTGGTTAAGGCCCTACTAATGCTTGGGAGCTCTGAGTTCAGTTCAGCTTCTGCCCTGGAGTACTTGTTGGACCCCAGGGAAGTCATTTAGTCAGATTGCTCCCAAAGGCATCTCTCTTCCACGTTTTCTGTTAGACAAAAAAGTAGAGCTTAATAGGAAATCAGTTCTTGGTTGCATGAAAAAAGCAGAATTTACAGAAATGTTTTTGGGCAAAAATTACAGCCTTTGTGGAACTGAAACCTCACATTATTAATTAAACTTGATGTGGCATTTTGGAAAGACTGGGACTTCTAAGTAAGTGAAAAAATAGTGACCATGCAGAGATGCATAAGCTCTGTCAGAAGTGTGGGAACTCCAGTCACTTCCACACAACCATTGAGATTTGACAAGTGGAAAATTCCTGTTCAAGAAATTCCCTACTAGTCTTGCAGACAAGCTCCAACTATAAGCTCTTCCATGTCGAGATGAGCTCTAATTACCCAAACCTATCAGTATTAGGAACAGGGGATACCTGCCACTCGCTGATACATCCATGTGCTAAATAATAGCACGTGCCTAATAAGGAGCAGCTTCTTTAATATGCAAGATGGCATTATGAAATTAGAAAGAACCTTCTGACAACAGCTGCTTTCAAATGTCTCATTTACACTGTAAAAGCTGCTGCTTCCTGTAATAATTGGGAGGGAGAGGAGGGAAACCGCATGTAAGCTGATCCATGCCCCCAGGTACTGTGCACGCAGCTCCTGTCAGATCAAAGAGGAGCCATGCTTCGAGTCTGAGGGGAGAACTTGGCCTCTGGCACTTTAAAGAGAAATAAGCTGGAGCATGCCTTGTATTTAGTCAGTACTCAGCCCATATCTTTGATGTGTGATAACAGTGGGGCAGGTAAAGCGTAAGGGGAGGCCTAACAAGTCATAGCGTAAGTGGGAAACGCCGTTACAAGTCGAGGGAAGGCTGAATGAAATAACATTTGTGCTTTTCTGAGAAAGCCCAGACATATGTCTCAGTCGTGAAAAGGTTCAGACAAAAAAAGAAAAAAAGCATAGAATCCAGAAGCCTGCAGTTACTAACCTTGGAGGTAAGGTGAGTGGCCAAAGAACCAATCCATCTGCACTTGGTGCAGGGGCTCAGAAGGAGGTGCTTGGACTGCAGGCACACTTCATATTTCATGCACACACAGAGGACCAACCCTGCTCAGGACAAGAAAATTTCACTTACAAGAACTGCAAGATACCATTTGAGTAAGCTTTGGGTAAGGGAATCTTTCTATCCTGGTTAGATGTGCTTGAAGTCCACAATACTTCAGTGTGCAACGTTGATAGGTTTTATACTTGCTCTTCATTTCAGATTCGTTGCTTCATAAGGAAAAAATATCCTAGGATATACATGGGGCTTAAATCAGTACAGTAAGGTTATGCAGGGAAGTCATGCTTGTGCACGTTACACATGTTTAAATGGCAAAAATAAACTACTGAGTAGAAAGCATGTTGTCATAAGATACCTAACTGAGAGCCAAAAACAACAAATTGGCCTGATTTGACTTGTTTTCCATTTGCAAGATGCCTTCAGCAAGTTTTTGCTCATGCTGACTTTTCAAGGAAACAAATACAAAGACTGGAAGATGCTCCTTCGTCACTTTTTGTGTAGAGGGAAGAGAGAATTTAAGTTCTCAAAATGAAAAACAAAAAACAAAAAACCAACAAACTTAGGCTGCTGGTGAACATTCTTATGTCCTAAATAAATAATCTTCTGCTGCTCCTAAAGATGTGATTGATTCGAGGGTCAGATAGAACATGACAATTGAATGCACTCGATAATAGCCATTAGTCATCTGTCTTCAGTAAGTGACCAAATGTTGGTTTAACCTTCCTAATCCAACAAACACCACCAGCTGATCTGATGGCTCTAGCGATCAGTGTCACCCCCAGGAGATGGGAGAGGAAAAAGAATTGACAAAGTGAAAGGTAAACAGTGGCACCAGATCATCTCTGACTTCGACACTGGGGACATCCTCGTACAACCAGGATTGTCACTTAGAGCTGATGGATTTATTCATTTTCGGAAACCAATTCATGATATTTAATACCAGCTTCAATCTCAGGCTCCTTTTAGAGAACAGTCTATATGAGAGATTCCACACGAGTATAAATCTAATTATATCATTGGCCTCGTCCAATTGGCTTTTCAAACTTCACTTATGAACCACAGAAGAAATTTGTTTGAAAGGAAGAGTATTTTTCAAAAAATAAGATGTCTGTCATACAGTTTTAACAAACTTCACACAAGTGCACGCCAGCACTTTTCTGAGCCATATGGGGATTTCTGTTGTCAGTTAAAAATTGTGAATACTCCCTGCACTGGTTACTGAATAAAGCTTTTTTCATAGTAGAAGCAAACAGAAAATTTTTAGGTGATTCTTTGCATCTCATCATTATTACCAGCTTAAGGCACTTTCACATTTATTTAAATTTGTATTGTTCAAAAAGCATTAAATTAGCATTAAATTTTATGAGTAGAAGCAGACAACATTTAATCTGATCTTTTCTACAGCAGCTGTAGCTGGCTACACAGCTAATGCTTTTCAAGCCAAGAGCCAACTTTTTGTTTTTGATCACACCATGTCTCATACTGGAAGTTTATTCTTAAACCAGTAATTCTTCTGACAAAGGTTTAAGTTTTAGAATCAATCTGGCATAGTACAGGAGAGCCCCATCTTCCACTGAAGCAAATTCTCCTGACTCTTGTCCCCTAGAAAAGCTGAGGGTTCAAACAGGAAAATCCTGAAAATGAGAAACTCCACAGTGTCAGTTCCCTGTTCTATCTCCATCATCATAAAAATACAGGAGCGAGGGCCTTGCTCACAATCCAGCTGCTTTGGCTGATGCAGCTCCTTAATATCTCTGGAATTCCCCAAGTACTGCTCTTGCTTTGCAGCAGGATGAGCCTGAGCAACTTGTTTGTGTGAAGCCTAACACTCAGCACACAGCATTCTCAGCACGGATACAGCCTTCTTCACTGCCATTGGAATCCACCAAGGAAAGCAAGCTGAAGAAATGCTGTTTTCTTTCCACAATTAATCCGTGTTTCTCTCTGTTTCCTGAAGGCAGCTAATCTATAGGAGGCCACTGAGGGTGCACCCAGAGGTGCAGATGGCACTCTCAGGTGCAGAGATGGCATGTCATGTCAAAATCCTGACAGCGTGAAGAACAGTGGGCTCTGCAGTGACAAACTTTGCACACAAGAGGTCTTAGCAGTGGGTTCTTAGCAGAAGCCACTCCTCTGAGTCCATGTTGTTGCAGGCAAAGGGGTTCAGTTCTGCTGGAGCAGATGGGTAAGAGATTAAGCAGAGGAGATCTTGGCTCATCTTCTGTTGAATGCAAGCATTGGGATTAGCATCATGGTCAATACCTGGCTCTGCCACCAGCATTCTTCCTCTTCCCTGTTATAGGAATGCCCTGGGGTTTATGGGGAAATGAATGGATCTTGCCTGTGCCTTGGAAACTGCTGGGTAATGGTTGTTTTACCAGCTCTACTCCAAGCTACAGGACAAGCCCTGGTTACCTTCCAGAGGTGGGTCTAACCTTCTGAGATGCTACCAAGAGGCAGATGCTTTCAAAGCTGAGACACCTGTGAAGCCATTTCTTGGTATCCTACTGGAATTAACTGATGGACAAAGCAACATTTAGTGTTCATGTTGCAGAGAGACCATGACACTGGAATTTGAGTGTGCTAGGACCTAAGAAAACACAAGTGGGCAAAGCCATTGCTTTGATATGGTATCACAACAACAGTCCCCAAAGCAAAGTAAGACAAGACAAACAACAATTAGAACACGTCAGGCAATGTGAATCCCTCCATCACGGATCTCCTCTTCCTTCAGGGCCATCTCAATACTGTGTCACAAGATTTCATTGCTTCCCCAGCTTGTCTCCTCCCCCAGTCCTCAGAAACTGGGCTCCTGCACCAGCTCTGTGTGGACTGTGCACATCCTGAGCACATTTTCAATGCTAGCAAATACCCAGAGTGTTATAACAGACAACACATCCTTCAGTGGAAAGCTGAGTCCCCATTTCAAATTCCTCTTGAACTATTAAGAATCAGTCTGTTGTTCTTTTATTTTTTGTTTTTAGGCTTTTCTCTCAGTTAAAACAGAATCTACATTTCTAAATGCAAATTGTCAAATCTTTGCTATTTTGGAGAATGATAGTTATGAGTTGACAAACAGTCTACTCACCATCTGAGAGAGCTTGTCACAACACACATAAATTAACCATCCCCCACACAGAGTATGGGAGTCTATAAAAAAATGGATTTGTCTTTTCTTCTACTTCAGCCCATGGAGAATTATCTTCTTTGCAGAGCTTCTTGTGATGTATTGCTGCTCAATCATGCATGCACCTTTGAAACAGCATCACAAGTTCTTCCTGACAGCAAGGAATGTGTTCCTACTCCAAGGTTACCTTTGTTCAAAATATACAATAGAAAATAGATGCTAATGAGAAAATAAATGCACAGCATAGTCTTTGGAAATGGCAGTGCTGAAGCTATCACCTTGCCTGAAGCAATAAATTCCAGGATAGCATAGGCTGTATTTTTTAAATTTATCACCTAACAAACCAGCAAACATTGATTATATGTTTTTCCTTGAGTAATTGCCAATATCATTAATATGTTCAAAGCAATACTTAAGAAGAAAAAACAGATTCTATACACAGAATACACGTGAAATGCAATGACTGAAACTCGCTGCCACAGTCCTGACAAGAGCACTACTTCAGTTAACTGGGACAAGCTCAGGAAGGAGATGAAACTGTCCATGATGTTAAGAGCAGCAACAGATCGGGAGCATCAACCTTATGCCCTGCAGCTGGGCCAGTCATGCTTGCATGGGTCCCAAGTCCCCCTCAATGTTCCCAGCTGTCAGCCCCTGTTTATGACCTCATGGAGAAACAGCTTAGAAACTATGCAAGTACTTACAAAGCAGAATACAGTACAACTCCTGCTACTCTTTCCCCAAAGTTGGACTGTGTCTCTCTATGGTAACCTAATTTATATCTAGCTATGTTATCCAAAACTGGCTTGAAGGGTTTCTTCCACTTTCATTTGATGGAGAAAAGCCAGGTTAAAACCATCCTACAGAATTTTTTCCTGCAAGTTAATAGCAATCCTTAACCATTCTCATTTAATGTTTATGTCGTCACAGCCTTCCATTGAAAGACATCCAAGAGCAGAGCAGAGCAATGATTGTCTTCTCAATTGCTACCAAGAACACTGCGGAGTGTTCTTGGTAGCAAAAAGAGTGAGGAATGGGCAACATCTTATTTTTCTCACTGTGTTTCAGTGATGTTTCCCAATCCCTCTACACTAAGGCATATCTGTGCGTGACAACCATGTACCTCATTCTGGCTGTCAAAGAACTGATCTTAATACAGAAGATAGCTGTTAAGTTGTTAGAATACCAGACAGAATGCTCCTCACCTCTGTGAGAACTAAATTACTACTATTCCCCAGCAAAAGAGCTGGTCCTACCCTCGTTAGGAAGCTCTTCAAGTACCACTGGGTTACTGAAACAGGAACAAAATAAAGAGGAAACCTCTGTAAAAGTCCAACTCTATAGTCTAACATCTACTCTGCAAACAGGGGTTTCAGAATCAAAACAAGACCTGGATTAACATTTATGGCACTTATCTATGTTGCATTTCTCACATTACCACTTTATGTTTCAGCTGAGGTGCTGAAATCCTATCTCAAAAAGGCGGCAGGAACAGAAAAGCCCTGGATAAGGAATAATACATTTTTCCCTATGCAACACTATAGATAAGAAATAAGCTTCTCATTTATTGCTTGTCACCATTCTAACAATGCTAAAACACTTTCATTTCTGAATATCACCCTTAAACATGTCCTGAACAATTAGTTAGAGTAAGAAGAGCAAAGTAACCAGAATCCTGTGCAGATAAGACAAATATCATTGTAGAAGAGGAGCCTTAAGAAACCCAGTGAACATTAGATATATATCATGCACATTCTAAATTTAAGATCGAGGGTAATTATTTTAATGTGGAACTTTCAATCACTGCTCACCCTACAGAGCTTCCCTGTGGATTTGAGGTTGAGTAATGTAGTAATGACAGTATTACCACTTGTAATAGAAAGAAACATTATAGTATCATTATCAAGGAATTACTCT